CCAAAGGCTCTAGAAGAGTTCCGCCCCCTTTTCCCATGCGGAGTCACAGGCCTCAACCCCCTAATCTAAGGCAATCAATTACCGATGCCAGTGAGTTCCTGCACAAATCTTGCACTATACATATGAGTCAAGGCATACACCTGATCAATCGGCCATAAAAAATCATTAACTTTTTAATTCTGCTTTTGCACAACCAATGCATCCCATATGTATATATATATATATATACATATATTATATATATTAGATATCTTCAGTCACTCAAAAACCATGATTAACTTCAATGTAATTTGTTTACGGCTCTCCCTTCTTCAAAATAATTAAATTCTTCATTATATTTAAAAATTTCTTTTCTAAAAAAATGAATTTTCCAAATTCTCTAAACTTATTACATTACAACCATATAATATGGTATTCAAAATTATTTGTAAGACAAATGAAAATAGCATAATAATAATTTTTAATTTTCATCACTAAAACGTCACATCAAAATCTCTTAAATATTGAATCCTAGAATTAAATGCACTAAAATCAGATTTAATAGGTGCGCCATCATGCAAGCAATTAGGGCTGTCAATTTGGCTCGTTGTTCGTGAACAGTTCGTGTTCGGCTCGTTAAGTAGCTCGTGTTCGGCTCGTTCGTTAAGCCTAACGAGCCGAACACGAATAAATTTTTAAGCTCGAAATGTAAACGAGCCGAACACGAACAACAGTTTGTTCGCTTCAAAGCTTGAATTTTAAACAAACGGAACACAAACAACTCTTTGTTCGCTCATGTTCGACTCGTTTTATCTCAAAATAAAATCATATAGTTATTTATATAATAATATATTACATATATTAATTATATAGTAATATATTATATATATTTATGTCTAAGTTTAAATCATAATGCCTCATGTAACAATGTGGTTAGTGTTTTCTTTTGTATAGATTTGATCCAGGTTCGAATCCCACACATTACATCTATTTTTTCTCAATTTTAGTTTAACGAGCCAATTTTGAGCCGAACACGAACACACTGTTCGCGAGCCGATTTCGAACACGAGCTATTTCGAACGAGCTGAACACGAGCCAAGCCTGAGCTCGCTCAAGCTCGGCTCGTTTACAGCCCTACAAGCAATGCAAATAGTCTCTGCTTTCTAAGAAATTTATTAAAGAGACTTTTGTTCATATACAACACTTAAGCTGAGCAGCAAACTATCCGCGATTATTTTCTTTTAGACCTCTATCAAGATCTAATCTCCCAAACAACCATCTCCATTTCTTCTTCTTCAATCATATGTTAAGATAAATCGCTATTTCCCAAAAGTGTTTTTACAAGCTTCAGTCGAACAAATATATGCACTTTTGTTCTCTGAAGTCAAAATTAGTTGAGCTATCTAACATCTCATTCTTAAAATTCATTTTCATCATATTTTTTATATATTCACACTTTATAACCAATTATAAAATAAAGTTGCCCTCAATATTGGGTTAAAAATGATAAACTAAAAGGTAGTTGTAATAGAAACATTACCAAAAAAAAAAAAAAAAGGAAATTTTATATAGTTTGGCTTAAATAAGCATGTATCCATAGTCACGAAGATCAAATAATTGACTAAATTTTAAAAAGATACACAAACAATTACATTTAACATAAGTTTCAAAATATTGAAAAAGATAACATTTATGTTAGCCAAGTAGAAAATGATGTCTACTATAAGAGCCTTTGTGGTAGCTATCAAACTTTAAAAAAACAAAATGAGATCTTATTAAAAATGAAATTAGACACCACACTTAACATTTGGTTGACAAAATCAATCATGAGACATAGCGAAAGAGAAAGACATGGCAAAATGAGTGAGAAAACAAATAACTTTACATATTAAATAGTTATTTTACTTTTATCAGTGATATTTTTTATTTTGTTAAAATTTTAGTTTTACATTTGAAATATTTGTCTGATGATATGATATTCCTTGTCCAAAACATCTCCGCGTGACCATTACTCGTGATTTTGATGCATGCGTAAAGTTTTCTTCGAGCCAATGAGCTTTGAGCATGAGATGTTTTGATATGGGAGAAAGTATCGATTCATCGGGCTATAATCACCAAGCCTCTATCACATTCACGGATAACTATGCCTTCGAACTCAAAATTTTTGTATTGACATAAAAGCTCCTTACAGTAGCTTGTTTCGAAATTGAGCCCCATTTAATGTCATTAAGGAGATCCTAATTGATTTAATTGTCATTAATTGAGCCCCATTTTTTTTTTGTAACGTCTTAATTAATGTTTTATCATTACAAGTATGAGATTTTGAAGCACGGGTGAAAATATTTTATTTTGACTATTTTATTTAATTTTTTGTTTATTGAATGTACTTCTCATTCTTCTCATGTAAATAAAAATTAACTTTTTTTTTAAAAAAAAAAGTTATCCCTTTGCATATATGTGAAGCTTATATTTTTACTATTTCATGATCCGTTATATTTAGTTTTTTGTTTTATAATATCTACTTATCATGTTTATTATGCAAAGCAACGGAATTTTGCAGTTTAGCATGGATCTCGAGGCATTTGACATGACTCTTGGAGCATTTTTTTTGAGCAGGAGATATTCAAACTCAAATTAAAATCATCCGGGACTTTGACTCCAACAAGCTTATAATCATATTGATCGGCTCAACAAGATGAATCAAATGACACCAAACTGAATTCAATACGAGTCAAATCAAGCCTGAATCAAGTCGGTAGACTAATTTTGGAAGCTTTGCGTGATTAATTAGTGGGTCAAATGAATTTCAAGTCTGGAAAGATTATAGTCATATCGAGCGTCCAATGAGCTCAAGATCACTCAATTCTGACACCATTAAGATACTCAAATATTTACAAATTAGCATCCGATCAAACGGATCACTCTGGGATGTCCAATGGAGTGACCAAGGTTTCTATCTTATTTATAGAGGATACCACTCTCATAATTAATAAATAAAATCATACTCTCTTCATGAAAGGGGGAAGAACTAGACATAGAGTTGAACCGGGAGAAGAATGAGTCAACTTTCAACATTGTTCCGGATTGAAGACACGATGAACACTTCCGGCACCACCAGCCTCCGATCACCATCGACCACCTCTCGACGCCAGGGACCGGCCCCCCCGGGCCACCGTCAGTCATCCCCAACTCGTTGTCGTTGGTGGACCTTGCGGAGTAACGGCTAGCGTTGCAACGAAGCACCTTAAGAAGTCACTATGTACATAGTGATATAATGCCACACCTCAAAAAATATGTAACGACGCACCCTAAATCCAATGTAACAACTTACCCTTCAATACCAGATAACGAATAATGTTGTATTGAAGATCAAACGATATCTCTCATTGCAAGGACTTACGCCCATCGTACCCAGGATAAAGTGACTTTTTTTCCAAAACCATAAGGTTCTCTCTCACTGCTTCTCCTTACGGGCTTGGTGGTCAACTGATGCTCTTGCAACTCCTTACCACAGCCTATGTGACTCATGGCCAATCGATACTATCGCAACTCACCTTTATGACATGTCTGACCAACCGTGACCTACATGACTCACATCTGATGCAGCTCCCAACTCCAATATCCATGGCCTACAAATGTTATCGTTGCTCATGGCTTTGATCCATGTGATCAACTACGACCTACGTGGCTCACAACTCATGCAACTAACAACTTCGACCTCTATGTCCTACGAACGTTAGTGCAACTCCCTACTACAGTCTACGTTACTGACTGCTATCATTACAACCTATTTGATCATTTATGACCTACGTAGCTCACAACTTATGCAGCCTCCTACCCTGACCTTTATGGCCTACAAACATTAGTGCAACTCCCTACTACACCCTACAAAACCAACTACTATCATTACAGTGCTCTGCTACAACCTCTATGACCAATTGATGCTATCATAGCTCACAATTATGACCTATGTAACAAATTATGACCCACATGACTCACAACTCATGAATCTTCCAACTACGTCCTATATATCTCACTACTACTTCTGCTTCCGATTGCAGCTTTGTGGCCAACTAAAGTTATTACAACTCTCTATTATGCCTTTTATGGTCAACCGACGCTCATGGAGCTACAAACAACAGCCTATATAGCCAACTACTTTGACTTTCAACTTTGGTTTCTAAGGCTGGTTATGGCTATTACAACTATCAAGAACTACATTTATTGTAGCCCATATATAAGACTCCTACTGTATTTCTATAATTCCAACTTTTCCAATTCAGAAAAAGAGTGAACATATGCAGTCATAATTACATAATGGATTACTTCAATCTGTGTTAAACCCCATGATTTTTTCCTTCCCTAGAAATTTTCATGTAAAAATTATGATAAATTATCTAATACTTTTCTATTATCTGTGTATGTCCTGAATTTTCATACAACACTAAGATGCTAATTAATTTATTAATCTACCGCCTCAAATCTTCGCGGGTGCAAGAAAATTTAGTCAAATAATATGCATTAACATAATTTCAAAACATATCTATAATTTTAATGAAGGGCTATTAAATTATCATGAGATTGATTTCTTTTGTACTTATAATTTTGAAATAATAATTATTCAATTATGAATGTGACATTAAGCATCTCATAGTGAATTTATATTTGACATAAAACATTCTATACTTTATTTGAGCTCAACTGTATGAACTAAAATAACTTTGCTTCAGAATTCATCAACAGTAGATTAAATACACTTAAAGCCAACCTAAACCATATATGTCATACAATTCTTTGCATTTATATATCTACCACCCCAAATTTAATATTTATACTTATAACGTCTTGGCATCATAAATCTAATGATATTTCACTTTAAAGAAGATAATAACAGTGCTATTTTTATAAACTGTTAAAGATTTAATTGTTATGCATGTAAATATATATATATATATATATTTAGATATTAGATATGTAAATACATAATAATTGTGCAGTATGTATGTAAATGCCCCAAATTTAAAAAACTCTTGAAGAAAATACTTGTGAAATGCTCCAATAAAATCATGGAGCAGTCCAATTCAGATTCAAGATTGCACATAAAATTATACCCTCATTATGTTGCAGAACAACAGCACTGCTACTCTCTCACACATCCTCTTCTTCTTCCTCCCCTTCCTCTCTTTGCTGAAATAATCAGTTCTTCAAAATTCACACACATCATAGAATCATTCAGCTCGACCGGATTCTCTTCTTGGAATCAGACTGAAGGGTGCCGGTGAAGGAGTCTCCCTCCGAGGAGGACTCCATGGACTTGCAGAAGGACGAAGAAAGATCGCTGTAGACGTCGACGACGCGCTGGATGTTGTTGTTGAGCTCTCTGATGAGGCCGACGTTGCGGCTGAGGTTGTCTGGAATCTTGGACTCATGGTTCTGATTGATCTCATTGATTAGTAGACGATTGTGATCCAGTATGTTCTGTACCTGAACAAAGCTCTTCTGAAAGTTCTGCACTAATTTGTTATCAATCTGGGTTCCATTGCCAAGGCTGGAGAAGGTATCTCCCTCCATTATTTGGGTTTTAGTTGATGAGCCCAATCTCAAGTGGAATCAAATAAAAAACTGGAGAAAGAGTTCAAGAATCTGAGCAAAGTAGGGAAATTCAGGTGTAAGATTTGTTTAGTTCAGATAATTGTATTACACTTTGCATAAAATTAGCTAGCATATTAAATCTATTATTTCTCTCTTCTGCAGTCTTGCTGACTATAGTAAGAAATTATAGATATACATATATATATATATATATATATATATATATATATATATTGAATTCAAAAATGTCCGGAAAACATACTTAAGGAATGGAACGCTCTTTCAAGAAATGATTAGAAGAGAGAGAGCAGTAGTACACGGAAAAAAAGAAAGTGTCTTATTCATGACATGAACCTTATTTATAGACACAAGTCTCAATATTACAAAAAAGTATATATTAACCCCCTCCTTATTAACTTTTCAAGGGGGGTTTGGTAATTACAGAGTTATTTGTATATAATAAGACTAAGAATCGATTCAATCAATGATGGTTGTCGATCGTCTGACAAGCTTTGATTCGCTCGATGTATGGTCTGAAAGAATTCTCTCCGTCGATCGTCCTGAAGGCTGGGAGTTTCTCGTGGCGCCTTTTGTCGATCGTTCAAACAAAATGATTCCCTTACCAATATTCATCCGAGAATGATCGTAGAAGGCTACGCTCAATCATTCACATCTTTTTCTTGAGCCAACCATCTGCTTTGAGATTCACGCTGACATATAAATATGTTTACATATTTAGTTCTTCAATTCTCTTGCTCTTCAGAAACTGTACTATACACGAGGATGAAAGAATTTGTTAACAAACATGAAATAATAAAATGATATTGCGCAACAATGGACTTCTCTAAATTTTGTGTGCCCAAGCCATTATAAATAGGCTTTGGGGGAAGGGAGGTTTCCACCGTCTCTGTCTCTTATGTCACCATTGTCTCATGTCCTCTTTTCGTGTTTTTTGCGATATCTGGTGAAGAAGCGCCGCTTTTCGATAAGAGTGTCCACCTCAAAGCCATGAGCGATATGCAAGCGTAAACCAACGGGTGAGGTATCTGCGGAAGGGATGAGTAGGAAGAGAGTTATGCTCAAGCTAGGAGCCGATGATTGTGAGAGCCGACCTAGTTCTTCTGGTTTCCTTGTGGGCTCTCCCTAGGAGAGAGCTACATAACAGGCTAGTGGTCGTCTTGACGATCATTCTACAGGACGCTCGCCAGGGGTGAGTGTTCCTGCTGTGGGAGAAAGATTGTCCGTCTAGGTGGTTGTGGGTGGCGCAGTTCCCCAAAGGCGGTGGCAGAGGCCAAGCATGGCTTCGAACAACTAAGAGCGGT